TAAGCATGGCCGTGGGTGCGTACAGCCGATGATTCCCAAGCACCAGAATGAAAAAAGCTGTCGAGTACTCCCTCGATTTCAATGGTTCTCTAACTGACATCAATCCACGATCAAAAAAAATACAAGTGTTATCTAATTCCATATAATAACGAAGAGGACAAAGGCGAAGACAATTTTTAACTTGATATAAAGTACAGGCGTGAGTATAGAAGATGGAGGGAGGCGTAGAAGCGAAATTAGATGGGATTAGAAAATAGTTGCATAACTTGCTGAATAGTTTTTGAGGAAAAACTTGCGTGTATGAAATGAGTTTGAAAACATATCGAAATAGTACTTTTTATAACTAAATGTTAGAAAATCATATCGGCAATGAGAAAACAAAATGCCTAAAACGAAAAGTATGATGTCAAACCGAAATATTATTATTGTTCTTCCCTTGGGCTCCTAGTGGAACATAGGGCTTCAACTGAACGTCTCCACTTGCTTCTGTCTTCTGCTGCTGTACTCTTCACCTGCATCCATGTTAGTCAGTCCCCACTGTTTCAACTCATCTCTTCACACCATCTCCTCCATGTCACCGTTGCACTGACGTTCCACTCGCCGCTTCCCTTTCTGTCGGCCTGGTTCCACTCGAGCAACAGCCTGACGCTCGCGTGATGACACCCAGCGGCCTCCTCCTCAGTGAGTGTCCAATCCATCCATCTCCACTTTCTCCTGCATATTTGTTGTTTGGCGATTCCTTCTTGTTTTGTTTGTTTCAAGCCATAGTTTCTTGTTGGTGATTCTTTCCGGTCCGGCCCGGCCATCTGATCTTCAGTGTAGAGCCAACGAAGACAGTTGTTGGTTGATGAAGGTCTGCAATAGCCTGTTGGTTGGAAATATTCTTTGTGACCCATTCGCCAAGTTTCTGATCCGTATAGAAGAGAAGAGCTGACTGACTTGACGTTGTTTGTATTGAAAATCCGGCTGGATTTTGTTGTTGGTGGTGGCTGAGTGGAGAAGATTTCCAGATTAGATTGGTTTCAGGTTGATGATGTTGATGTGTTTCTCGCTCGCCTTCCTGATTCTCGCTCAATTTGATATTCTCGTCGGTTCCGACTTCCTGTAGTTGAGACACTGCTCAATGCTAGATAAGTGAGTGAATAAAGTGACCTCTTTTAAATCCCTTTCGTTGATGGTGATTGGCGCTGGATGTTGCTGCTGTTGTTCTTATTGGTTGGTGATTAGATTTTTTGTAAATTTTAAGAATAGGCTAGTTTCTTTTGAACTTACAGCTGCAACTTTTGAGTACATAAGACGAGGACTTCTGCAGTACAAAGAAGTCATCCCATTCACACCTGTCTTCTCCCTCACCTTTATGTTGAATTGAATAATAATTGCATCGGTGTAAAAGTTAAAGTGCTCGCCATCCACGCCACATGTGGTTCAGTGTTCGACCCTCGAAAGGTGCACTCCTTACCTCACTAAGCCAGTTATAAGACTGGTAAGGAGACAAGGGTGGGATTGAGGCGGCTAGCAGCTTCATTCCGTAAGAATCAACACCATTGCTATCGAAACTTCAAGCCTCTAGGTTGAAGTCCTATGTTTCACGGGGAACGTGAAAGAATTTTTAAAAATGTAGAATTATATGTATTAATTTGATTTTACGACTACTTTTGACAATGAAATCGCTAAAGTGACACCAATACGCTGAGTTTCTTGTTCTCCTCTCTGTAATGTGCTGAGAGGTGTTTTTTCCAAGACTTGAAATGAAGCTATTGATATCACTAGTCGTGATGCCATTATTTACTTGTAAAATGTCCTAATCATATAAACGAGATTTGTTAACCAAGAGGAAAATACAAATCGAAATTCCACTTCTCTCTGTTAGGGAGTCATTGTTAAAATGCATGACAAATGTCCATTTAAAAGAATAGGCGGTCAGTAAAGAGTTACTCTTTTCGCCGATATCATTCTCGAGATGTACAATCTCATATGTATAGTAAATTTTCTTGGTAACAATAGAAATATTACCAAAAATTTGTCATTAGAACTGTAATTGTTTTAGCCAAGAAATTGTGTTGTGTAGAAAGCGTTAATTGGGTAGGAAATAAAATATAATTAAGTAAGCTGAGTGACTTAATATAACTTATGCAGTTGGGTAGAATTTGACTAAAACTGATCGAGAATCAACAAAAGCGGTAAAGGGGTTGGAAAATTAGTAGGTGATGTGGGAAGAAATTAAAACAATTTAAAAACAAGCAACATAAATTACGTATTTGGTGTTACGATAAAACAGATCCATTGCAGACTGAATGACTGAAAATCCTTATTAGTTTGTTTATAAGATGTATCACACAGTCAGTGAAACAGTATTATTTACTGGATGATGTTCACTTGTAATCACATGACTTCGAAACTTCAGTCTTATAGTTTTCTTTGTCCTCTCTTATTTGTCATAGAGGTAGTAAGATTTTCCAGATATCTCAGTGGACAGGTGTTGAATCATTACTATTACACCTATTCGCAGTTGATTCGATAAATAAAGCTTCTCTCTATACCCTGTGACATTAGATTTTAAAACTGTCATCTTATCCCATCCCATCCTATTGTATGGTTGTGTGTAATTGCATGTAGTGTTATAGCTGAACTATTCTTTAGATTTCTTATCTTATAGGGTCAACCAATCTAGATTTTGCAAGTTTTTTAGGTTCGGCTAGTCTGACTGCCCCTGTTCTACTAGTTTGATTTATGTATTTGACCTGACAATGAGCTCAGGCAGCGTATAGATAAATTAAATTGTTTTGTTCTAATGGCTTCACAGGATTGATCCTTCAACCGACAAAGCTTGTTTTTAATAGAGTTTGCGGGTAGTTTGAATGTCAGACACTTTTAATCCTGCCTGCCTTGTTAAGAATTCTGCGTAAGGTTTCCGTGGTTCCTTCCTAGTATGGAATTACTACTCATGATTTATATTCACTATTGTTGGTATTGTCATTATCCTGCGTGTGTTTGGTATGCACGTCGTCACTAATATTACTATTATTATTACACTTATCATTATCATTACTAGCATTATTATTATTATTACTATCACTATCGCTACTATCATTATTCATTATTTCACTTTTACATCTCCCTACATACTTACTTTCTGACTAATTTATCCGGGTAATCATTAAGTTTCATAGCTTCTTTTATGTGTATTGCTCACAGTCTTAGATTTTTCTTGGTAGTACTTAGTTTTTGTGCTTTGTCACTTAAACGTTTCACCAATCCTATTTTCACTGACATAAGATGGGATGGTCGGTAGTGCAAATATCTGTTCGAATGTGTGGTTTTCTGTAAACACTAGTGTTTAACTTCCAAATTCATAAGTGAATTGAATCGCCTCTACCTTTGAGTTAATGTGTTCGAAAAATCTATCTGTATCTTGAGTTCTAAATACCGTGAATGTGTCATCTACATACCTCCATCATACTTTTAGGGTGAAGGTGAACGTTTCAGTTGCTATGTTTTCTCACCCATCCAGAATATATCTGGCACAACCGGGGATATTGGTGACCCATGAACTCCCTCAGTTTGTTTGTATATTTTCCATTGGAATTTAAACACTGTGGAAGTCAGGCATAGTTGCACTCCCAGCATTATGTCCTCAAGTGGCACTTTTGTCTTAAGTTCGAGTTTTTGGTCAGAAATGAGTTCGTTTCTGACTGCCTCTATAGCCATATTTAATGGTATAGGTGAATATAAACTGACTAGAAACCCTCTTTCGTATGCAGATTTCAGGATTTCACATGTGAATTTCCATTGCTTCTGTAGTCTGGAGAAGCTTGAGTGTTACTCTTTTAGCGAAAGTGGTACGTATTCTGCAGACAAATTTGAAGTTCCTTTGTGAGTTAGCCTGGTGGGAAAATTCGATCAGGTGTTCCATGACAGAGATACGGAGTGATCTTGTTTCTTGCTTAATGAAAAAAGAACAAGCAAAAATATGGTAAGAACTTTACTCAGAGCATGGTAGTGTGAGTGAATGTATCCAGCGCTTTTGAATGCAGACGTCCTGTTTCAAATACCGAATAGCTAATGCTTCAGCTAATACACATGGCGCATTCGAAGTCTCTTTGTATGATATTGAAGGAGTCTGTGTAGCACTATAAAACATTTTTGTGGGGGTGCTTGATGTCCAGAGATGACAAGGTGTTCGGGGATACAGTTGCTGCTGTTCTTCTTTTCTCCTCTGGCTGGCTAATCAAGCTTTGCAATGTTCCAGAATACGTTTGTGCGCTTGACGTTGAGTACAACCTATATATTTTGCTCTACTTGAACAAGTTAACTGATAAATACACATTGAAGTGACCAAAAGTGGTATCTAATCCTAAACGTTAGACTGGATTAACTGTCTGCTGGAAAATGTGATACGTAAATTGGCTGTTGGAAATGTCTTCTTCAGACATTTAGAAAGGCGGTTTCTAAGAGTTTTTTCCCTGATGTTTCCTTTGAATTCCAGGTTCATGAAGAGAGTTTGCTTTGCAACAGTTGTTATTTTTGTTGACGTAGGCTTTTCCATCATGTTTCTGTCTATGAGTTTTGATGGATAAGCGTTCACTAGTGGGGTTTGATGTCATAAATTTAATTCGTTCTCGTCTGAACAGATATTTCTAATCCTTGATAAACTGTCCCGTCCCTGTTGGCTTGCGATATATCGATCCTTTTCCTCCTTTATAAAACCATGATGCTAAGTTTCCACTTTATGTTCCCCAGTGAATTCTGTAGACAGGTGGATAATATTTCTCTCAGTGATTTGACTTGAAAATGATTCATTTAGTAATGCTTAATAAATCCCGTTACTATAGCTTGTATGTAGAATCAATCTTCAGTTGTAACAGATGGTTTAAATCACGTTTTCAGGAATGTTTATCGAGTCATGAATTTCACACGTGAATGAGTATGTGAAAATGATGTGTTCCCTTGATGCTCTGTTCAACTATATGATGTAGAGGTAGGTGAAAAAACGGATCAAAATGTCAATTCCCATAGTTTTATGCTTCTACAGTGCAAAAGTTACTCAGTTAAATATTGCTACTGGAGAAACAAAAGTTTGTTTTCTGAAGACTGTATAGAGTGAAGATAGTGTGATAAAACCTCTACACAAAAATGCTATCAAATAAACAAACACATATGTACAAACGAGATGCATATCGATAGCTTATATCTCAAAATGTGAGGTTGTCATTGATGTGACAACACGTCGACTGGCAAAAGTGTGAACCAGGTTCTCAAAAGAAACCAATAACTACAGGGAAAATAAAAAAGAATAATTCACTAACAATGAAATTTTCTTGTGCAACTAGCAGTTGCTAAGCCTGAAAATTTAATATGATTATGAACACTAAATTGCTATTGAAACGTCATCCAGTTTATTAAACCGTTTCACCGTATATTATGTCTAGCAAAACAGATCAGTATAGAATTCATTGGAGGTTTGAATAACATCCAACCTTAACGAGGTTACCTCGCCTAGATTACTACCAAATCCTAAGCCTGGAAAAGTGGGAACGTTTGGCAAGGGGCGACAGACCGTACACTGACTGACAAGTCAGTTTAATCCCTATAGAAACCCAAAGACAGTAAATATATCAAAATGAAATAATTCTTCTCTGGATTCGGATAGACAGAATGACAGGCACTGGTCTAAACCTTCGGAAAGCCTGTCAGCCAATATAGCTCTTTTCTTTCAATGAAACCAAAAACAGATATGGAGGCAAAAATATTCAATGGGAAGGCAGCTAAGATTGTCACACAAATGAGAAGATACGGTCTAGAAGTGTCAGGGATTTGTGAGAGCAGGTGAAATTGATTCGGATTTTCCGAAATCGATAATCTACTTTGATCATCACATCATCAACACAAAAAGGGGCCCTTGTGGAGTGGGAACTAATTTCTTCTAGGATAATGTCAGGAAGATTCAACTCAGGATTCAGGAAAGTTGCATTTATCGATTGCCACGCGCCTACAAACAACTCAAATTCAGAGAAGAAGGAAGAATTCTACAAACAAACTGCAAACATTCATGGATGGGGGTGCTATCAGCAAAGTTAATGGCAATGAAGAGCTATTCGGCTTCAATGATTTGATGAGTGGAGGCAGTGTGTACAGTCACAAGGTTGCACAATATGGATTTCACCTGATGGACACACTTAAAACCAGAGTGACTTCACCTCAATCTCAAAAACTTGAAGACACGGTCTGATGAACACCAAGTGAGTAAGGGGAGCAGATATAGGCGCAGACCATTATTATTGCAAGTGCCCACCAATATCAAGTTGGAAGCTTTCAAAACACCTGGAAGTGGACGACACTTTGAGTTCAGAAATCAAAAACTGAAGGATAAAACTACGAAGGAGATATTCGCTGCGGTCAACACAGGATATATGGAGACACTATGCAGCACCATCAGGAAAGCTATGTTTAGGAACACTGAAACCCTATAAAAGAGATGTAAGAGGAAATATGTATGACCGTTTTGGACGAGAAAAGAGACAAGACAACTGATATTTAGAAGTAATAGGGGAGACACGAACAGTGAAACAGAAAATAAACCATTGCAAAGATGGATGACAGAATGAGAAGCTGAGTCCAGCGTACAATGCACCGAATGAATAAGTGACTAATAGTACTGAGAAAACAAAGGATGGATTTGCGACACACTGGTATTTGAAGCAGAATACGTAGAGGGCTAAAGAGACCTTGGAACATTGTATCAGATAACAAGGTCGCTATTTGGAGCAGAGATCAATGCAGATGAAACCAATGAAAGTTATTCCGGAGAATCCAATTACTAAAGAGAAGGGACAAAGGCAATAATGAACTGTTCACTTCAAAAGACTCCTCAACACACCACCATCTACGACTCGTCTAAAAGTATCCATGATATAGATTTAAAAAACGTTATTTTTAACTAATCAAAATAATATTTACCAGAACACACAGTTATTTCAGTTCTGAAGAACCTCAAAAATTCCTCTGCATAATAAAGTTGATGCTAATATCCGTCTACAATATCAGTGGATGCATTTGAAAAACCACTAATGCACTGAAGTCTTCAAATCCTCTTTGTCGTTTTTAAGATAAATCAAAAAAAGAACAAATATTTCAGCGAAGTTTCTTTTTTCGGCGAATTCAATCACCTAGTTGTACAGTCACAATTGTACATAATTTATTTTAAGATGTGTGAGCACATTAGGTTTATCCAAGAAGAATAAAATTCAGTTTCAGTTATTTCTTAAGGCAACAAAACATTTCAAAAAGTATGATATATAATCAGGGTGCAGCCGGTTGGATGTGAGGACATTGGCTGGGGTAGCGCAATGTCGTGAATTGGCAGAAGTTAGAATTCATGGGCTGGCCATTGGATAGGGTCCCAGTGGCTTAATGGTGTACGAGCTCGTCTTGTAACCAGAAGGTCCTGGGTTCGAACCGTAGCGGTGGGCGCGTACTGCTGAAGAGTCCCAAACTAGGACGAAACAGCAGTCCAGTACTCCCAGATTTTCCGATGGTTCTCCAACTAATGTCAGCTCATGATGAAAATTCAATAATCAGAATAGTATTGGTTTGTTAGAGATTTTGTTTGATTGTATGGGGGATTTCATCATGAGCTGACATCAGTATTCAGACAGTTAACCTGAGGTTCTAGTGCAAAACCTTGACCAGTAGTGTACAGCAGGTCGAAGATGAGGCAGTAACTCATTGAAGAAGACATTGCAATGTGGTCGCGCTATGTCGTGAATTGTCAGAAGTTAGAATTCAAGAACCATCGGATCGGGTTCCAGTGGCTCAATGGTCTACCAGCCAGCTCGCCTTGTAACCAGCAGGTTCTGGGTTCGTACCCAGGTGAGTGCGTACTGCTGGAGAGTCTCAAACTAGGCTGACGAAGCAGCTGTCCAGTACTCCCAGGTTTTCCAGTGGTTCTCCTAATGATCTCAGCTCATGATGAAATCCTCCATGCAATCAGAATTGTAACTGGTAGGTGAAGGACGAGGATTAATCAGTTTACAATAGGTTACGTATTATGATAAACCTTCAGAGAAAATTTGAAGTTAATGAGAAAGCATGGAGATAAGTACCAAAACAAACTACGCAGTTGATAAAATGAGTAAATTGAAGGTTTGTTAGGAAAATGATGATATTTAAATTTCCTATGAAAAACGCACAGAATAGTATCAATAACAAAACAAAATTTAAACTTGAATTTATACCCAGGGTAGAAGAAGGGGTTATAGAAGAAGTTTCTTCTGTATACGCTGTAGATCCAAATGATTGGCATGATAATCTAATCCAGAAGGCTAAAAAAAAGAATGTTGAAGTTACTGAAAACATCATGATTAGGTTCTTTTCTACACTGTTGGCTGAAGTCTATGCCCACTGATTCACGACATTTTGAATACCTGTTTAACACATTAAATCAATTGGTTTAAAGTCATCAAATTTACAAGAGAAGAAGAATTTGATAACAAAATACCATTTTTAGATGTCTAAATCAGGAGAACCAACACAGGAAATTTAGAAACACAAGTATAGAGAAAATCAACGCCGACACACAGATCAAATACTCAACTATACTAGCAGTAATCCAATTACTCACAAAAGAAACTGTGTGCAGACATTGTTTAGAAAAGTCCAAACACATTGTAACACACCAGAGTTGAAAAGAATGGAAGAAAAATACTCACAAATGGTCTTCAAGAAGAGTGGTTATCCAAAAAATTTCATCAAAAAGTGTTTAAAGTCGAATCAAAGCATCAACAAAGAACCATCACCAAAGATCAAAACGAAATTCATCCTACCATACATCAGAAATATCTCTGAAATAACGGCTAGAATAATGATACCGTTTGATATAGATGTAGCACACAAACCAGTCGAATCGCTTAATTCGATCTTATGCAAACCAAAAGATCCGACAGAAAAAGGAGATAAAATTAACACCATTTACAAAATAAATTGTATGAACTGTAACAAACATTACATCGGCTAGAGTGGGCGTCCCCTTCGAATAAGAATCCAAGAACACAAATCAGCCGTGAAAAGACATGATATAAATTCTTTAGTATCAATGCATACAGACAATTATGGACATCAGTTTGATTGGGATCATGTCGAAATCTTAAACAGAGGAAACTCCAAAAGTGCAGTCAGGGAATTCCTAGAAGCCTGGTACTCAAACGAAAATGCAATTAATAAACACGTCAATATATATGAAATATATCGACTAATAAAAAGTAAATCAGGTGATCAGAAAGTTTAAAATCCCAATCAATAGAAAACGGTCAATTCATATGTAAAGATGGTTGGTCACCAGGAGACGCAATTGTATCATCATTCATGGAGATTTTAAATCATTTGACTTTATGCTAAATGCTGCGCTGAATATGTCGTCCAGAAAGACGACGAAAGCTCCCTAACTAAACCAACCAGCTCAGAGAACACTATTAACTGCAAATCAATTGGTTGGTGGTAGTGCTATTTTGCTAGTTTAATGGAAGTTATAATTCACAGCATATTGGCTGCTGACTTACTGAATTCACAATGATGTATCATCCTAATGACCTTAAGATCCTGGACACAATCTCTGTCATAGTGGTTGTGGACATTGAAGAATCTGCAGTCAAGGGACTGCAGGGCTGTTTTTAGTGCCCTCTGGTTCTCCGAATGGTGTCTATGATTGATAAAAACGTTTTATTCCATAGGGATTCTAGTGCATTGAAACAATGAAGTAATGACTTCAGTCTAATGATAACTGGTATCAGTGATAAATATTAGTTTATTATTTCATAATTGCTTTCTACTAATTAGTATTTGTTTTCACTCTTTAGTGAATCAGATCAACAACAACTGATAAATTAAGAAAGATACACAACTAATAGACAACATAAGTGTCTACTCTGCTTTTAAGCCTTTTAAAGATCCACTCCAAATTGTGAATTACAATTAAACTTGAGGATGTACTAAAATTTACAAAGTTCAAGAGAGCTATCTGTCTATACCACTCTTAATATTTTTCTCAATGGCTATATAAACCATGAGATTGAAAAAAATATAGCATGTATTCTTAATCTCCGTATATTTACAATGCGAGCGGTGTACTAATTTTCTTCAGTCTCTTCTTCGTCAAATCCGTCCTATCTCTACCTAATTGTATTGTTCCCGACGCGGAGTCGGTATGTCATTTTAGAATTTAGAAGTTTAATTTTTCTTTTTCCTTCTTCAGAGAATTGGCGTTTATGCACAAAATATTTCTAAAAGATATGCAGAGAATAAACATCTGAAATTAGTTCTTGTATATGAAAAAAAACTTGAAGAAAGTAAGGTATACACAAAAATAAAGGTAAGTATATATATCTTCCAAGATGTATGTTCCAAAGTGTACCTCATCTATCTGTACAAGTTTTCTTTTCCTTCGCGTTCTCCAGTGGAACATAGGGATTTAAGCTAGTGGCTTGAAGTTTCTGTATCAGCGATGTTTATTTTTACAGGATGGGGTTGCTAGCCTCATGCGCAACCTTTCCTGTTTATCAGTATTATTTCTGGCTCAGCAAGGTAAAAGAGTGCGTCGGTGGCCGGGGATCGAACCACGGACCATATGCATGGTCGACGAGCATCCTAATCGCTGTGCCACCGACGCATCTGTACAAGTAGTATAACTAAAATAAACTTTACAAGTGTTTTTCACAAATAAATTCATCTGTCTTTTGTTCAGACTGCTGTACAGACTTGCGCAGCTGTAGAATGCTCGCCAACTGGGCCGCATGTGGTTCGGGATTCAACCTTCGGTCGACGCACTCTCTTACCTCTATAAGCCAGTAATAAGACTGGTAAAGAGGGAAGGCTGGACATGAGGCGAACAACTCCATCACGTAAAAAATGAACACTAGCGATACTGAACCTTTAAGTCTCTAGTTGGAAACTCTATGTCCCACTGGGACCTAAAGTAATAAAAAAATTATATTATTGTATAAGATGAATGATATTCACCCGTTAGGTATTCATAGAACATAAAGCGGAGTGTTTCCCTTCTGGAACTACACTGTCTGTCATAGATCGATGGCATTTTAACATATAATATACAGACATTCGCTATTACTGATCTCTACCACAATGCCCAAATTTTATGCTTATATCAATACAGTCATTCTGTTTACAAGAAAGAATGATGCTATTCAAGTGATATAATCCATGTCATAGTGAATACATTTTTCTAAGCCAGATGAACTCTATTGAATCAGTTGTGTTCTTTGAGTTGGTTGATTTAGTTGCTAAGCTTTCGTTGTCCTTCTAGACAACATCTGAAACCTTCGCCGAGAATGATATCTAGAAAGACTACGAAAGATTAGCAACCAAATCAACCAGCTCACAGAACACAACTAATTCAATTTCATCCACTTGAGCTAGGAATCTTCTCCATTATTTCCTGATTAACTTTGGCTAGGTGTTAGCCCGACCATGCACATGGTCGGGGTTCGATCCCCGGCCACCGACTCACTCCTTTACCTCGCTAAGCCAGAAATAATGCTGGTAAAGAGGAAAAGTTGGGCATGAGCTTAGCAACCCTGCTACACAAACTTCAAGCCACTAGCTTGAAGCCCTATGTTCCACTGGGGAACGTGAAGGAAAAAAAGATGCTAGGCGTAATTTTTCTTACCTAACCATCTTATTTCATCAGCTTATGTTATTATCCTTTAAAGCCTACAAACACTTATTGTCACTTAGTTTTACATTTTCTATTATAACCGTCAACAGACTGCACTTGAAGCCGCTATTAAACACTGGGAGAAGGCGTTAATTGTTGTGTCAAATACAACAGAAAATATATTAGTACAAAGGTAATTAGAACATAGTGTCTTAATTGCATGATTTATTTTGTCATATATAATTGATTATCTATTTCCCTCAACTGATTCTTTTCTAAGTAAAGAAATTCTGTCAATAAATCAGGAGTTCTCCTCTTATTCTAATTCACTTTAATTAATCAGTACATTCCAGGAAGTGTTTATGAAGGAGCAATTCTATGTATTCATATGTATTAGCTTAAGAAAGAAGATACGAGATATATTTTCTTATGACCAAAAAGCCTATAAATTATCAAAACCACAATTGACCATGTTGAAAACAAAAATAATGGACTTACAATAGGGTAATTTTCTACTAAAAATACCCTTCTAGAAATAATTCAATGCCAGCATTTAAGTAATGATTTAAGTGCCATGAGTTTAGAACTCTCTTCAACAAAAATAATTAATTTTGTATATTATACGTTTATATCTTAAAAGAAAACTTCAATTTTTACAAAACCATTCAGAATGAATAACAGGGCAATTCATCATCACATAAGATTTATTTATTCCTTCTGGTTTCTTTCCACAGATGTCTACATTTTTAAAAAATATTTTCCCTATTACTAATATTGAATGCTTCAAGAAAAAGAAATTACTTACTTCACAATGCAGTCAACACTGAAGATGCTTCCTAGTGGGATAATGCAACCTTCACGATTAAATCACGCTCAGCTCAAATAGCACATAGATATATATACACTACAGGTTTTCCTCAAATATCATTAGTATTGTTCCCTTAGGCTCCTAGTGGAACATACGGATTCAACTGCACATCTCCACTTGCTTCTGTCTTCTGCTGCTGTACTCTTCACCTGCATCCATGTATGTTAGTCCATACTGTTTCAACTCACCTATTCACACAATCTCCTCCATGTCACCTTTGCACTGACGACCCACTCGCCTCTTTCCTCCCTGTCGACCTGGTCCCACTCAAGCAATGGCCTGACGAGCGCGCGATGTCACCCAGCGGCGGCCTCCTCAGCGAGCGAGTGTTCAATCCATCCATCTCCACTTTTTCCTGCATATTTGTTGGTTGGCGATTCCTTCTTGTTTTGTTTGTTTCAAGTCATAGTTTCTTGTTGGTGATTCTTTCCGGTCCGGCCCGGCCCGGCCATCTGATCTTCAGTATAGAGCCAGCGAAGACAGTTGTTGGTTGATGAAGGTCTGCAACAGGCTGTTGGTTGGAAATATTCTTTGTGACCCGTCCGCCAAGTTTCTCATCCGTTCCGTATAGAAGAAGTGATTGACTGACTTGACATTTGTATTGAAATTCGATTGGATTTTGTTGTTGATGCTGGCTGAGTGACGAAGATTTCCAGATTGGTTGTTTCAGGTTGATGAATGTGTTTCTCTCTCGCCTTCCGGATTCTCGCTCGATTCGACATCGTCGTCCGTTCCGACTTCCTGTAGTTGAGACACTGCTCAATGATACATAAGTGGGTGAATGAAGTAGCCCTTTTCAAATCCGTCCCGTTGATGGTGACTGGACCTGGTTGTTGCTGGTTTTGTTGTTGTTAGTTGGTTGGTTATATTCTATTTCTATCTCTATAGTTATACTAATTTATTACTCTGGTTCACTGGTAAAACACTCATCAGCCACGCACATACACACGCACACGTTGTCTAGGGTTCGATTCCCAAATGACGCATTGCTATATCTCTTTCTTAACCAATAGTAACTCAAGTAAATAGGTAAGTTTGGATGTGAGGCTTGCAACCCTACGCCGGGAAAAATATAACATCAGTGTTCAAAACTTGAATCTCTTTTTATTCTACGTGGAACGGACAGGAATAAAATCAATCAGTTATTGTTTTGTTTTTTACTCAATTTTTTTATCACAGGGAATGTTTTTCTGGACCAATGATGCTTTCTGTACGTGAAAATATTGAGTACTGTAAAAGAGTGTGTAAAAGCGAGATTATGTGCAAACATATGAGAATTCCAGATGAATACTTAAACGTAAGTCATCATCATATGAAAAGTGTGCAATAAGTATAATGAGTGATGTTTAATATGACACATTTTTGAAATTAATATCATCTGAACAGATAAAACAAAATTGAAAACTTATGGAATAAATACACTGGTTGTTAAGTGTTATTTCTCAAGGTAGTAAATACGTGACGGGACGCGTCACTATATATATATATATATATATATATATATATATATTGTATACAGTAATAAACACAACAGCACCTAGATTAATCACTATCAGCGGAACTGGTTAGTCTTAGTGTGGATGTATAATAAATAGAAGTTATTCAAATGTTGGTTTGTAGGGATTTGATTGGTTTCAGGATTTCACCATGAGCTGACATTAGTTAGGCTCACTAGAGACTGATCCTTTTCAGGTAAGTAGTTACCTGGGTTCCAGTGGGAAGTCGTGACCAGCAGGGTGAAGCAGGTCACGTGTGAGGACAAATACTCGCCGAAGACATTGGCTAGCGGTCGCGCTATGTCGTGAATTGGCAGAAGTTAGAATTCATGGACTGGCCATTTGGATCGGGTCCCAGTGGCTTAATGGTATACGAGCAAACTCGCCTTTTAACCGGAAAGTCCTGGGTTCGAATCACGGTGAAGAGTCCCAAACTAGGACGAAACAGCTGTTCAGTACTCCCAGATTTTCCAATGGTTCTCTAACCAATGTAAGCTCATGATGAAATCCTCAAATTGAAGTTTATTCTTCACCACAAAACCTACTTATTGTATATATATTACATTACAAAACGAAAGGTTGCTGAAACTAAAAACAACACCAGCAAAGCTAAAAAACACAAAAATCTACAGTATAAACTGCTACCATTTCATTAATTGCCAATTTACTCTTCACATTGACAGCAAATAGCCAACCAAACATGTATAGAGAAACAGCAAAGTTAAGTGTTACTCCTTTTCGACGGTGAATCCATTCACTCAGCTGTGCGACTGCATTTAGGATAATTATTTCGTGCATGTGTATGTGTGCGTGTTAATTAGGAATGTCAAACAAAACTAGTTAGGCTTATTGTTTACGTCATCAAAATATCTCCCAAAAATGTGATGAATAATGAAAATTGTAACTAGGGGAGGGTGAAGATTGATAAGTATTGACAATGGTTGCGTGATATGAAATAGAATATCAACAGAGGCAATTGTCAAAAAAAATAAGTTATGTAATAGGCAGAAAGAGTAGATTAAAAGTTAGTAATAAAAGCGGTGTTACTGAAATTCACTCGAAAATTCGAAAGAAAAAGAATTATTTACAAAAGTGGTAGAACTTGGAATTATGCCCAAGGTGGAAGGAGAGGTTTAATATTTATTTGTGCGTTGAAGTTTCTGTAGCGATTTGATTAGGATTTAAGAGTGGCGTTGATAACACCACGCCCACTCAACCCTCCCTCTGTATCCGGGCTTATGACCGACTATAAAACTAGCGGGCTAGTAATCTACGCGAGTAAATCATCGTCACTCAGCTAGCATCAACAACAAAATCCAATCGAATTTCCAATACAAATGTCAAGTCAGTCAATCACTTCTTCTATACGGAACGGATGAGAAACTTGGCGGGCGGGTCACAAAGAATATTTCCAACCAACAGCCTGTTGCAGACCTTCATCAACCAACAACTGTCTTCGTTGGCTCTATACTGAAGATCAGATGGCCGGGCCGGGCCGGACCGGAAAGAATCACCAACAAGAAACTATGACTTGAAACAAACAAAACAAGAAGGAATCGCCAACCAACAAATATGCAGGAAAAAGTGGAGATGGATGGATTGAACACTCGCTCGCTGAGGAGGCCGCCGCTGGGTGACATCGCGCGCTCGTCAGGCCATTGCTTGAGTGGGACCAGGTCGACAGGGAGGAAAGAGGCGAGTGGGTCGTCAGTGCAAAGGTGACATGGAGGAGATTGTGTGAATAGGTGAGTTGAAACAGTATGGACTAACATGGATGGATGCAGGTGAAGAGTACAGCAGCAGAAGACAGAAGCAAGTGGAGATGTGCAGTTGAATCCGTATGTTCCACTAGGAGCCCAAGGGAATAATAATAATAACAGAATGAGAGTTTGGAGAAATTTCTTCTGTGTGTACATAAATCAGGGTTTTCTTACGGGATTGCAAATGTCTCGATATTGCAAATTATATGGAGGCTTAGCATTTTCTGGAGGAGGGGCTTCCTTCTGATCTTGTAGATGACTTCCAATGAATTCTTCATACATATTGAGTGACCGGTGTTCAACCATAGCACTCTTTATTGATCTATTGTTACCTTTTCGTAGTCAAGCGGGATAATGCTGTTGGACTCTTTTAAATAAAACACTTATTGAACGACGTTTATATATCTTGCTGTACACACAGAGGTGGTCAAATGTGATAGATCATCTTTGCAGTTGTTGAAAAACAATGAGAAGATTGAGAATTTAGCACAAGAGAATGTTCTTTTCACGGCTTTAGATATTCTTCTCTTTAGGAAGTCAGCCAGAAGGTTGTCTTTGAATGCCACATTCATGTTTAGCATCTCCTTCGGTACAGAGAAGAGTTTTCTTTATTGGATTTCAGCTTTGTGTGTTTATCCATAAAGCGTGGTGGATAGCCATTCTCAAGTAGTGCCTTCCTCAAAAGAGTTATATCTTCTTCTGCCCATTAGGGGCTGCATATTCTACAGGTTCTTGTTGCTAGAGATGTTATTAGGTTCTCCTTGTGGTTGGTGAGTACCCGACTCTCAAAGTGTGTTACACGTAGGCTTTTGTTATTCATTTTGCAAAGTTGTTTCTATTGATATCCTATTTCATATCACACAACCATTGTCAATGCTTATCAATCTTCACCCTCCCCTAGTTACAATTTTCATTATTCATCACATTTTTGGGAGATATTTTGATGACGTAAACAATGAGTCTAACTAGTTTTGTTTGACAATCCTCATATACACACACGCGTACACATACGCGTAATTATTATTATTATTATTATATCCTTTAATTCCTAGAGGAACATAGGGCTTCAGCTACACGTCTCCATTGCCTCCTGTCTTCTGCCAACTTTTTCACCCCTCTCCAAGTCTGCCCACATGCTTTGATCTCCCCTTCACATAACCTCTTCCAAGTCACCCTTTTCACTGACAACCAACTCGCCGCTTCCCTTTCGGGTTCCACTCGAGCAATGATTTGTCTACTGATGTTATTCCATGGTTTCCTCAGCGCACGGCCAATCCATCTCCACTTCTTTCCGCCTATTTGTTTCACAATCGGTTCCTGGTTGGTTGGTTTGCTCATTGCCATAGATCTTTGTTGTTGATCGTTTCTGGCCGGCCATCTGATCCTGAGTAGTATTGAGTCAAGACAACTGTTAATGAAGGTCTGTAGTTTGTTTGAGATGCTCCTCATGACGCGCCAAGTCTCTGATCCGTATAGTAGCACTGACTGACTTCACATTGGAGTTGAAAATCCGGATCTTATTTTAGATGCTGAGTGCTGTTGACCTCCACACAGACTTGAGAGTAGTGAAAGCCTGTCTTGCTTTTCCGATTCTGTCTTTGATATCCTCGTCAGTTCCGTTTGCCTGTAGTTGAAACGATGCTTCTTCTTTCAGATTCCTCCCGCTTATGCTGACATACACGAAATAATTACCTATAAATACGATTGTACAGCCAAGTGAATGAATTCACCATCGACAAGAGATTCTTCACTTGACCTTTATGTTATTATTCTTGACACCTGAAGAAAGAGATGTGAAAATGCTATATTTCTAGACGGAAAACGATGTCCCTCTATAATAAATAATTTTAGTTCTAGAAATGAAGATGTAGATTCCTAGTTCAGGTAGACAACACTGATAGAAATGTGTTCACAGAACTGATTTTTATAACTCTGGAACTGAAGATGATGTCGTGAAAGCTAATGAAAGCACCGCGAAAAAAGAAAAAAACTGCGCGTCTTAAAGAACACAGTCAAACTCTATTTGTGCCTATGTTGATGTGCATTAACGTAATACATCGAGATGATTTCAAACAGTGAGTGACGATCACATTATCTTGCCTAAATTCTGTTCAGCTGTCAAGTGTCCTTACTCAAGCCACTGACTAAATTACTGGCTATGAGATGTTGTCGGAAATACAAATATACATATTTCCCCCCCTCCCCCCCCCCGCTAATCAATTGGTGTCGACAGTGTGCCACAATTGGATCATTACCAGTTTCATACTTTTGAGTTTTGAAGTTTCAGTAGCCGTGGAGTTATGCATAATGATGTGGAGTTGTAAGCGCTATCTATACCCAACCTTTCCTGTTTTCCTCAGCTTAGGACTTACTAGTAAAATAGACGAAAGAAAAACAAGCAATTCTGGTGGCGAACCAGGCAAGAAACTAATCACCAACAAAAATATTCAAAGAGAGATGAAGATGAAATGGTTATACGCTGAAAAGACATTCATGTGACATCAGTCTTCATGTCGGTCGTTAAATGAAACCGGATAGGTAGGAAGGGGTTAGATGTCAGACAATGATTTGTACAAGATGATGGGAGGAAGAAATGAATGCGTATAGTGCCTGCAGTTGAGCAGTCAGCTGAAAGTGATATCTCAGAGTAGAATGAAACGAAAATGGGTTGTTCAGGCCACATGTTCCACTTGGAATGAAAGAAATGAACAATACATTTATGATTTACCGCACCAGTATCTGCAACTGTAAGGAAGGCACTAAGAGGACACTATTTTACTAAAGAGTGTTTTCCTACTATATTAAAACTTTTTTTAAAAGTTACTGTTTACAAACTAGTTATAAATATCAACTTTGATGACTGCCAATCAACATATTTTTTGCAAACACTTACTTATCCTTTTACGAGTTCATCACGGATTGATATCAGTTAAAGAACCATTGAAAACCAGCCAAGAAGTACTGGACAGCTGCTGTTTCATCCTAGGGCTCGGGAATCATCGGCAGTACTCACCCACCGTGATTAGAATCCAGGACTTTCCGGTTACAGGGCAATCTTGTAGACCATTCAGCCACTGGGACCTGATTCAAAGGCTCATGAATTCTAACGTCTACCAATTCGTGATTTAGCGCGACCCCCGGGTTTAAATCCCAGTGGGTCAGTACTGCCGATAATTCCAAAACTAGGATGAAACAGCAGCTGTCCAGTGGTCCCTAATCTTCAATGGTTCTCCAACTGATATCAATCCATGATCAACTCGTGAAAACAAAACTAACCCTTACAAACCAAACTTTAGAAAATTAATCTGATGCTCGCTAATGACTTGCTACAGGTTGGAGTTTCCTGAGTTCTAGTGAGAAGTCGTGACCAGTGAGGTCCAATTAGATGTCGCGGTGTGTGGATGGATTTCCCACCAACGACGATGGTTGGGGTCGCGCTAAATCACGAATTGGTAGAAGTTAGAATTCATGAGCTGGCCATTGAATCGGGTATCAGTGGCTGAATGGTATACAAGCTTGCCCTGTAACCGGAAGGTCCTGGGTTCGAATCCCAGTGGGTGAGTACTGCCGATGATCCCGAGCACTAGGATGAAACAGCAGTTGTCCAGTACTCTCTGGTCTTCAATGGTTCTCTAATTGATATCAATCTGTGATCAACTCGTAAAAAACATAACTTACTAACCCTTACAAACCAAACTAAAGAATACTTACTTATCTCCTTGGCTTATATATATTTGGTTATAAGACAAGTGGTTTCCAGTCTGACAGTCTTTGAGATGAAGCGTTTTCCAGCATTTCAGGCATATCACTCTACAAATGACTTGAGGTTATATAGCCTGCGACTTTCTCACATGTGAATTTAAAGACGTCTAATTTGTTTAATTCGCAGTTTACCATAAATGACAGACACAGTAATGCCTACTTGGCTGAGAGAATTCGGTCTAGGAGTAGACATATGCTATTGGTTATTCATTAGTGTCCAGTAAATTGTCTACGCTGTCATTCTCTAACTTTTTTTATTATAGAAAAGTGTTTTCATATTTTATGATGCTATGCTTATGTATATAAACATGAAAGATGTTATCTTCCTGTCACCTTGATATGATATTTCTCAGCTATGTTGAAATATTTTTTTCAGTCATGCTATGAACAATTTCTCGATAAAAAAGTCATGAAATATAGCGCAGGAAAAGGTTTACAGTATAACGAAATGCTGTTATTAGTCAGTATGAGAAACCGTGAAGCATGCGGTAAAGATGTACTTGCTTGGGCAACATACTGTCATAGAGAACCATTGAGTGGAAGGTAAGTGTTGTTTGACTTGTTTATTAAACGTATTGTTGATTTTGGTTCAATATATGTGATTTTTTGCTGAAGTCGTATGATAATAGCATTAAAAGGAATGTACAAATTAGTGGAATACGTTTTAACTAAGTTCTTTTATTAGAAACAGTATATTTTATTATTATTATCATTATTGTTCCCTTAGGTTCCTAGTGGAACATACGGATTCAACTGCACATCTCCACTTGCTTCTGTCTTCTGCTGCTGTACTCTTCACCTGCATCCATCCATGTTAGTCCATACTGTTTCAACTCACCTATTCACACAATCTCCTCCATGTCACCTTTGCACTGACGACCCACTCGCCTCTTTCCTCCCTGTCGACCTGGTCCCACTCAAGCAATGGCCTGACGAGCGCGCGATGTCACCCAGCGGCGGCCTCCTCAGCGAGCGAGTGTTCAATCCATCCATCTCCACTTTTTCCTGCATATTTGTTGGTTGGCGATTCCTTCTTGTTTTGTTTGTTTCAAGTCATAGTTTCTTGTTGGTGATTCTTTCCGGTCCGGCCCGGCCCGGCCATCTGATCTTCAGTATAGAGCCAGCGAAGACAGTTGTTGGTTGATGAAGGTCTGCAACAGGCTGTTGGTTGGAAATATTCTTTGTTACCCGCCCGCCAAGTTTCTCATCCGTTCCGTATAGAAGAAGTGATTGACTGACTTGACATTTGTATTGGAAATTCGATTGGATTTTGTTGTTGATGCTAGCTGAGTGACGAAGATTTCCAGATTGGTTGTTTCAGGTTGATGAATGTGTTTCTCTCTCGCCTTCCGGATTCTCGCTCGATTCGACATCGTCGTCCGTTCCGACTTCCTGTAGCTGAGACACTGCTCAATGCTAGGTAAGTGAGTGAATGATGGCACTGGATGTTGCTGCTTTTGTTGTTAGTTGGTTGGTTATTTTCATGACCTCCTTCTTGTTGACCTATGTTCACCTGGAATCCTGTCTTTGCTGCTTCTTAGATCAGTTTGTCGGTTTTCGCTTGTAAGTCTTCGATTCTATGTGACATCAAACATAAATCATCCACGCGCGAAATCCAGATCTTCTAGGTTCTTCACATCTGTCGGTCCAGGATATCCCTGACATCTCGTTTCCCACTGTCTGACGCATAATTCAGTCCACCACAACCCACTCTTATGAATATCATTTGTGATAATAAACACCCTTGTCTGAATTCTATGTCTATTCTAAACGCCTCGCTGACCTTTCCGTTGTGGATCACTTGACATGTACCGTTGTCGTAAAGCGGCTGTTGATTAAGTTGATGAGTATTTGGGGTACGCCGTAGTACTCGAGGAGTTTTCAAATTACTTCGTGGTCAACGCTGTCGAAGGCCTTCTCGAAATCTATAAAGTTGAGGTAGAGGTTAGATTGCCATTCTTTGCTTTGTTCTCTGATGATGATGCGTAGAGTTGCAATTTGGTCAGAACATGATTTGCCTTTCCTGAATGCAGCTTGTTCTTTCGATGAAAGCAAAAGTAAGGATGGGTACGTGGAATGTTCGTACAATGTACGAAACTGGAAAGGCTGCCCAGGTAGCAGCAGAAATGACGAGATATAGAATAAAACTGCTGTGAATCTGCTAGAGCAGACGGAACGGATGTGGTAGGTGCCAACTGTCAACTGGGGAGACAATAATCTATTCCAGCCACCCAGAGGACAATCACGGGCACACCGAGGGAGTGGCCATCATGATGTCACCAACAGCAGTCTATTATATCGGTATGTGCTAATTTCAGATTATGCTTTATTCCACCGTAATACTATTTTGAAGTTTGCATACTGAAATCACTCATGAATATATGGACTTATCAATACGTAAATACACAATATGACATAACACTGCGCTACTGATAGCTTTGAATAGATTCACAATGATCCACCAAAGATTTATAAAGTAAGGTTTTTCATAGTGAAACTCAAAAGCCCCAGTGTTACTGGATCTGACACAGAAATGGGAACACACACACACATACCACCTAACTTCGAACCTGTCAGATTTTCGTGCAATACTCAAATGTCAGTTAAATGGCCTGATTTTACTGCTTAGGTTTTCATCCTCACAATATTATAAAGCTGAAAGACAAAAAAAAGGGTCATAGTCTTCTACATAATTATAATAAAATTTTTATTCTGGATGGTGTTTATATGATGTACAAAATTTTCAGTGGATATTTGTTGCATAATATTTTCTTTTCATCAAGAGTCTTCAAAGAATGTAGTGCAGTTGACATTAGATCATGCGACAGAATTTTCCGTTACTTGCGGGACGCGAACCAAGAAGTTATGATATTTCCTCTTTGTCTCTGTAAAAGTACATTCGATTGAAAGCTCATTAGGAAAAGTGCATAAGGGACAAAGCCGAGACACAAATCAACACTAGCGAAGTGATCGGCGTCGAAAAGCACTGGAACAACTTGAAAACGGTGTGGAGCCAAACCTGCATGGAAGTTCTAGGCAGAAAGAAGAGACAGGACAAACAGTGGCTCACTGCGAACACTTGGAAACTAATAGAAGAGAGTAGGACAGTGAAACAAAAGATTATTTAATGCACTGACGAGCAACAAAAACAGGAGTTGAATGCAAGCTACAATACACTGAACAAAAGAGTGAAGACGAGTGCCAGGGAAGACAAAAGAGAATATTATGAAACCATGGCAAACAAAGCAGAACAAGCCGCAGGCAAAGGAGACCTTGCCACACTCTACCAAACAACTAGGCACCTATCGGGAAAAAGTTCGACACAGATTAAGCCAGTAAAGGATGACAATGGAAAGTCAATCACCAAAGAGGTGGAGCAAAGCAAACACTGGGCTGAACACTTCAAAAGACTTCTAAATCGACCGCCACCTACAACGCGCCCAACAATACCGACAACGGAAGCAGAAATACCAGTGAACATTGACCTCCCGACGAAATCAGAAGTCCTAAATGCAATCAAGATGCTAAAAGCTGGAAAAGCAGCAGGACCAGATGGAATCCAGCAGAAGCATTGAAAATAGACCCAAAGACAACAGCTGACGCCATTGCTGGAGAAGGTGTGGAAAGAGGCAAAGTTCCTGAGGATTGGAAGAAAGGATACTTATTCAAACCACCAAAAAACGGTGACTTAAGTTAATGCAAAAACTGGCGCGGAATTGTGCTCCTGACCATCCCAATCAAAACGCTAAGCTGCATCATTTTTGAGAGAATCAAACAAGCCGTGGATGAAAAACTTCCACCGGAATAGGCTGGATTCAGGAGAAACAAATCATGTATTGATCAAATCGCCACTCTACGGATCATCATTGAACAAAGCTTGAAATAGCAGTCACCTCTCTATCACAACTTCATCGACTTTGAAATGGCCTTCGACAGCATCGATCGAGAGGTCATTTGGCAACTACTTCGCTACTACGGGGTCCCATCGACAATTATACATCTCATTCAACAGTTGTACGACAATGGTGCATGCCAAGTAATCCACAACGGGAAACTTACGGAATCCTTCGAAGTGAGGACGGGAGTGAGGCAAGGCTGTCTACTATCGCCAATGATCTTCCTGAGTGCAGTAGATTGGATTATGCGACAGACAACGGCCACCAACGAGGAAACAGGCATAAAATGGACTCACACAAAGACAAACTTGGAGGATCTCGACTTTGCCGATGATATATGTCTGATTTCTAACAAACTAGAAGATATGCAAGTGAAAAGCAACAGGCTGGCAGAAGAAGCATCAAAGATAGGACTTCAAGTGAACATAGATAAAACAGAGGTGATGATGATCCCTGGCCAACAGCAACAGCAACAATAACAACAGACAACAATCAGCCAGCATAAATTGAAAGAACCTGAGAGAAACAAGCTTCTTCACCTACATACCTGGGAAGCATCGTTTTAACTACAGGCGAACGGAACTGACAAGGATATTAAAGCAAGAATTGGAAAAGCAAGACAAGCTTTCACTACTTCCACTACTCAGGATCGAAAACAAGATCCGGATTTTTAACTCCAATGTGAAGTCAGTGCTACTATACGGATCAGAGACTTGCACTGCGCGTCATAAAGAGCACCTCAAACAAACTACAGACATTCATTAACTCTCATTGGAGGAGGTCATGTGAAGAGGAGATGAAAGGATGTGGGCAGACTTGGAGCGGAGTGAAAAAGTTGGCAGAAAACCGAAGGCAATGGAGACGCGCAGCTGAATCCCTGTGTTCCTGTAGGGATTGAAGGATATAATAATAATATATTTTAAGAGCCGAAAACATAGGTGAATAATTAGATCCTGCATGTAGTTAATTATACAGTGGCAGTATATTATACTAAAAGCTTTGGAAACAGCTATCTCATATGTTGGGATACGTTGCTACCCATGATTTGGTTTTTTCTCAATTTTATTTAGTAGGAACTTTTAAAAAACAGATTGTTAATAGTTTAAATACTTGTGACAGTTAAAAAAATATACCACTACAGACCATATTTTAATAGACTGATATAACTTGAACGACAGAAATCTTATGCACTATTATGATGACGGTCTTTGGAAGCCAGAACTTTAACGATTCAGTCAAACAGTTTATAATTCTCATGTCCTTTTATAATGAATTCATGACATTATTTGGGTTGTTAAACTGACTAAACAAAGGTTTCAGAGAATAAGATACTCCAAAGTAAATTTCATCAGTGGTCGAAATTCGCTAATAGCACTACCATCAATCGATTTCGTTGATGTGTTGAATAGGATGTCATCAACCAGTTCGAACAAAATCGGTTACCGAGGTGTTTTGAGCACTAACAAGATTTTTTGTTATAAACTACCCTCTTGGTATTCGTTTTTATTGTCATCTTTCTGGACAAGTAGGAAAGACGGTTTCTTTGGTAAGGGGACTTTAGGCTTTGGTTTAGTTTCATTACGACATCATCTGTTCTCTTCTTTGCAACCGTATTCGGGTAGTTTTCAAATGATATTCTTTCATCTTCAGATAACTCACAGAGAACTTGAAAGTTTCTTGAGATATTCTTCCCATTTCAAGTAGTCGTGATCAAATTGCATCGATGTGACTAAGAGTGTGACATCTCAGTGCACGTGAATCAGGGGGCATGTGATTTCGTCTGAGATGCTTCCAAAACACTTTGGGATATTTATGTTTCTCAAGGCAATTCTCCAAAAAGAAAATCTTTGCATTCTCCCCCTCAGTAAGCCTGGGGGAGGATTAACGTTTAGTCACTTGTTCAGTCACTTTGCCGTAGAACGGTAGATGCTTCTCTTCAAATCACCGAACATACACATTGCATCGTAGGAATTCTTAAAAAGACGGTTGCAGCGAAGAAAATTTTCTTTTCGACAAAGTCATGAACTAGGCTGTGCATTCGTGTATTTATATTAGACGTGTGAGAAAGTTCCAGAATTATTTCCGGTCAAAAGTCAAATTGATCAACTTAGTGTAAAAACAGAATATAGGTAGTGAGACTATTCAAGAAATCTTACAGGTCAAAGGTTAAATTAGAAATTACAATGTGTAATAATCAGGAAGATAGGGTAGAAAAGACAAACTTGGATTATAATTACTGGAAAATTCGTCAGTTTGTATAAATACAGGTTAAGGATGTGGTATTAAGGAAATGGGTAGGAGCTTTATCATCAATTTTTTTTTATTTTTTTTTTACTTTTTTTTTTGATTACAGCTTGATTCCACACTGTATTTTTGGTACAAGTATGGAATTTTTAGCGTGGATATCGGTAGCCCAAAATTCGCAGGCCGACCATAGATATCAAGTGTGCGTCGGCGTGGGCTCGAACCCCGGACCATGTGCATGGTCGGCGAGAGTCCTAACCACTGTACCACGAAGCACAATTATCCCTCCACTCTTTGTATTGATGTGTGGTGAGTCTACTGTGATTTATGAACATTTTATACGAAACAGTAATGCATCCGAAGATTCTATGAAAATGTATTAGATCAGTCAACCGTCTTTCATTGTCTGCTTCATTATTAGACGGAGTATCCTGATGTCTTACCTTCCTAATTCATCAACGATAACACTTTGTAGGTTTAACTGGGACGGAATTGGATTATAATTAGTTATTCAAGTCCCCATCATCTTTTTTTAAAATATTATTTAATCATATTATCTTTGTTTATGCTTTGATGTTTTGCCATATATTTTCAGATTTAAGTAGACATTACATTTTAAGCTAGTGATTTTGGCTTTTCAAACAAAGAGTATATATTCTATACTTTTGAAATTCACATTTAGGCCTTTTATTGCTGTGGTGAACTATTGCTATGACGAAGAGGGAATTAAAAATGAAGATATCGAAAACATAATTGCCACGTCTAAACATGAAATAGGACATGCCCTTGTAAGTTACAGACAGTTATATCGGCTGAATGTTTCTCATTTGCTAAATTATCCTAACAGAATACTGAATTGAAATATGGCACCTGTATGGGGCAAGGTTTATGCGCATATTGTATGTTTCCTTTAGTTCCTAGAGGAACATAAGGCTTCAGCTGAATGTCTTCATTGCGTTCGGTTCTCTGGTGAAGTTTTCACCTGGCTCCACGTCTACCCACATTCTTTCATCTCCTCTTCACATGAACTCACCTCCTCCATGTCGACCTCACACTGAAGACCAACTCATCGCTTCCCATTCTGTGGGTTCCACTCGAGCGATGGCCTGGCGTGTGATGTCACTTGATAGTTTGTTTTCTCAGAGTATGGCCAATCTACCTCATTTCTTCTTGCTTATTTATTGCACAATTGGTTTCTGGTTCCATTTCCCCACGTAGACGTTTTCTTTTCATCGTGCTGACTTATCTGTGGCAATTGTGTTCACAGGGTGAAGTTGCTAGTCTAATGTCTTAGGAGTTGTTACAATAATAAATAGTTTACAGAGGAGCAACTTTTTAGGTTGCTCCTTTTAGCATCAAGAAAACAAGGAATAAAGCAATCAGGACAATACTAGCAAAAGGAAAAAAATTTACAACAGGAAGGGCAGAGATAACAACAATAAGAAAACCTTAGCAGTAGTATCACTGGCAAAAAAAACAGTTAACGAAAATGATATCGAAACCACAGACTCACTGACTTGGATCAAAATGAGTATGTAAGTTCAACAATATGTACAATTATAGATTTCAGCTAGTGTTAAACAGTCACAGGTATTATGTGTTCACCTCCTTTCCAGTGTGGGATGATGCTGCAAAACTTGTCTTGACAGATTAACTCAACTGTACGTGGGATGTTACATATGATATGTGCGTCGGTGGCACAGTGGTTGGGACTCTCGCCGACCATGAACATGGTCTGAGGTTCGACCCCCTGCCGATGCACATCTGATATCTATGGTCGGCCTGCAAAATTTGGGCTACCGATATGACATGCTGAAAATTCCATACTTGTACCAAAAATACAGCGTGGAATCAAGCTGCAATCAAAAATTAAATTAAAAAAATTAAATATGAAAATATGATAATTGTTGACCTTCAAGTTGGATTCTTGGGCGTATCAACACTTAGGCATGGCAAAATACTCCTTGTGTTCAAAGCACTTTAGTATTCACGCTAGATGACTGGTCGATTTCCTTACCAAAAGCTAATGTTTTTGCTTGTGGATTAAGCGTTTTCCTTGATAGTACATTTCTCTGAAATGCACAAGTACATAGCACATAAACTGATCCCAGCTGGCCCCAAAATCCTCAGTCACATCGGTGATTGGAGGAATGTTGCTACCAAGGTAAGCGAAAGAGGCGCCTTCTTTTGGGTTTCTACCAGAGACGGTGGTTTATGCTTGTTGTGTATGATCGGGCAACTTCATTACTTCAATCTTTCTCATGATCACTCGAAGTCCTATATTCACTGCTTCTTCTGAGAAAGTTTTGTCTGAATTTTGCTTTTATATAACTGAGTTTGTACCACAAAAGTTGTAATCACCCACGTGATCCAAATCTTCCAGGATCATCTCATCTACCTAACATATGCGCTCATCTTTTCAATCCAGTGGTGTCCACACGATCCATTCCCCCACCCCTAGGCAACCTTGGCCTAATTCTTTCCTACCTTAAATCGCTTCGTTATGATTTATTCGGTGAAGTAATTGACAGAGAGCGTCATCATACAGGTTTAGGACTGTTTTTAGCAGGATTAGTAGATTTAAATCACTTGCCGAATTACGTCATGATCGACCCTGAAGAAAGTATTTTCAAATTCGATTAAACTAAGGTAGAGATTTGATTAACATCCTAGTCCCTGCTTGAAGAAGATGCATCGCAGTGCAATTTGTATGGAGGTGGCTATTTTTTCTCTAATTTGTCTTGTTACAAACAGAATTGACTATCTAAGGTTTCTCTTAGTCTTTATACGATGCAGTTCAACAATTTACTTTAAATGGACAAAAGTACTGTGTTAGTGAATTAGTTCTAAGTATTCTTACATTGGTAGTTTCACTAAGTAGTCTTTCTTTCAAACCTTAAAATTTAATAAGTAACTTGTCTCATTTTTTTGCACAAGGGGTTTCATCCAGATATTTACGGAAGGCTGCCAGATTTGAAATCAGAATTTAGAATTAATTCGAAGTAAGTTTCAAACAGTTCTTTTTGTAGCATATCACTGTCATTAAACTTTATTCCTTTGTTTTCCCCGTGGAACATAGGGAGTTTCAATAACACCGGTGTTACTTTTCTAACAGTGGGAGGTTACAAGCTTCACATCCAATCTTCTGTCTTTACCGTGATTACTGCTAGTTAAGCGAGATTCAGCAGTGCGTTGGCTGGGTGTAGAGCCTCGGACCATGCGTGTGATCAGTGAATATTCTTCCATCGAACCACCAACACACACGCACACATAGCATGAAGCATACACTCTTATAAATAACCATTTAGGCGTTACAGTATACTGTTCAATTTCATTCTTAGATTACAGGGTCAGTTTTGTTTGCTATAATTACTAGAAAATCAGTAGATAAAGGTGAAAAAAGAACAGTATAAGCTGGAACTTCAGTGAGACTATATTGTTGAAACTTAGAAAAACGTAATGGTCAGATCTGTTAAATTTTCTTCTGCTAGTGATTTTTTGAGCAGTCAGTCAACTTCAAAGGATATTCAGAGGAAAAGAAACTAATGTCAAGTGAGTTGTTTTCTTCAGAAGTTTTGTCGGAAGTAAAGACACCAGATTATCCTTCCATACTTATAAATATCTAGACATTAAGCAACCTTCAGACAGACATCATATAGATGCTAAGTAAAACAAATGCGATTTATGCTGGCTGTGAAACTATGACTTGATTTTCAATGTTTCTATGTTTCCAAATATGATGTCGGCTAAGGTACATATTGTGGCAGAGATACATTTGACGTTGTCATTGCAGAGTGGTAAGTAAACTCATTTCCATTGAGTCTGAGTAAGTTGCTTGTATATTTTAAAAGTAGTTAGGAGGAGAGATTAAACTCCGTAGGATCTGGAAATTGATATAAACGACAGTTTTAATACCATGGAATAATTTAATTCCCTTCTCTAATTTAACGACAGTACTTTTAGATCCGTGAATTATACATAATATAAACTCATTTAAGTGACTGACTAGAATGCATTCATAACTGTTCCCGGATCTGTGGCTGGAATTGAAGTGTACACTGCTTCTAGTACCAGCTGTACAACTTGCGTTTGGCAGTACAATAAGTCAACATAATATTCAGGTTAATCTAGCATATTGGAATGACTAAGTGGTATGTGAATGCGTACACAGAAATTTTTATGGTGAATTCACCTACACAGTTATCGATCCCTTTTCATATTAGTCAAGATGAATTCGGCATTTATTTATTTATCTATTTTCAGCCCAAGACCAGTTCAAAAAGTTACACGAAGTTGGTTGTCAGCCAGAGGTCGGTTCACCGTGCAGAAAACAATACTCAGGCTACCAAATCTGCTTGTGAGTGTGTTAAGAACATTTTTTAAATTGGCAACATCTGAAGTTAAAAAAAAAATATGTGACGGTCCACTTCGGTCTTTAGTTCCACAGACTCAATTTTGTCTAGATGGAGAATTCGTTTGTAGACTTTCTGAAAGACTGTAAAAATGACTATGCCAACAGGCATAAATGTGCCCTGAAATGTTTTACCTCTTATATGAAGCCCACAGACATATGCTTACGTAGCTGTTCTCACATATGAAGTTGAAAATTCATATATGGTGAAGTCTTTAAGGAAACACACAGACCATTGGCTATTATTTGTTATATTCATTGTAGAGAGAGCTAATTTGGTTAAGAAAAATCAAAAGTGACACAGAAAATCATAGAGAAATCAATTGTTTGCATATGATAATTTGAAACGTGATCATTAAAGATCACTAATTGACTCCTGTTACAGCACCTCGTAAACTAATGAAGACAAATGCCTGAAAACCAACAACTGAAACATTAATCTAGTGTTCACTAGTGAGTGACAACAGTATACAGTTGCCTGAAGTTCTGATGGTGATCAGTGGCCTCCACCAAAATGCATGTTAGGGTTGATGGTTACTCTATATGTCGTGAATACGCAGAAGTTATAATTTGTGGGTTTTTGGATTCCGTCTCAGCGGGGTGATCGGCATGCAAGTTCTACTTCTAATATAGGAGGTTCTAGGTTCTTTTCCTAAGAGACCACGAGTAGGTGCTGCGGAAGAGTCCAAACAAGGGTACACAGATGTCATTTATCTCCTGAAATCATTTCGTGATCAAGATAGAGATCAGTCAGATTTCTACAAACCAACGCTTGAAAATTGTTAAAGTCCGTAGTATTATAAGAAATCCATTTGAATGCAATTTTCTCAATGCTTTAAATGAAATAAATGTGTGAATATATATTGATACTCTAGAACAAGTAATGTGAATATGTTGATAACTAATCTACCCGATGATTATCCGAAAATGGAAACTGATGACAAACTAAAAGGTCTTCTCTGGTGTATGTGTGCGTGAAAATAAAACATATTCTCCGCACCGATCAATAGAAATAAATAGTGTTTTATAATAACATACATTTAATAGTATTGGTTTTTTGTAGTGATTATCTTTGACTGGTTGGAGGGTCTCATCATAGGCTGACATCAGTTAGAGAACCACCTGAATCGGATTCCAGTGGCTTAATGGTCTACGAGCTCTCTAGCCTTGTAATCAGAAGGTCCTGATTTCGAACCCTGGTGGGTGCGTACTGATGAGGAGTCCCAAACTAGGATAACGAAAACAGCAGTTCAGTATTCCCAGGTTTTACAATGGTTTTCTAAATGATGTCACCTCATGATGAAACCCCCCTTCAATGAGATCGTACTTCTAGGGATCAGTCCTATAGTACGTATCACCAGGACGTCAAACAAACTTGACCCTGGCTAACCAACCGTGATGATGATCAGTGCGGCCTAGTCCCGAGCGTGAAGCAGGTGTGTGGCTGTCCGTCTGGCTGGCTGCTTGTGGCGTCAGTAAGTGCGGACTCGGCCGCCTCCTTGTTCGATCGTCCAGCCGGATTGAGGAGGGTGCGTTCTTGCGTTGGTGGCACAGTGGTTAGGACTCTCGCCGACCATGCACATGGTCCGGGGTTCGAGCCCACGCCGACGCACACCTGATAAATAAAAATAAATAAATCATTATGTAATATAATCGGGGTCCCAGAAGCTAGCACATTCTTCAGAAAGAAAGTCGCTCATGAAGTATATCATCTAGAAAATTCGGAAGAATTTAATTAAACTTGAGGGGTAAAGTTCAGGTTCAGATCCTTTCTTCTTATTAACACTTTCTACTTAGGTGGAAAATTTTTACTCTAGTAAATTTAAATTATACAGTATTTCTCAGCGTCATTATGTTGACTATTTTTTTTCCTTCACGTCCCCAGTAGAACATAGGGCTTCAAGCTGGTGGCTTGAAGTGGCTGTAGCAGCGGTGTTTATTTTTACAGGATGGGGTTGCTAACCTTATACTCAACCTTTCCTCTTTACCAGCATTATTTCTCGCTTAGCGAGGTAAAGGAGTACGTCAGACGGGGATCGAACCACGGACCATATGCATGGTCGACGAGCGTCCTAACCACTGTGCCACCGACTATACGGATTACAATATGCTTGTATAATGCAATCTGAAATATGAAAAACTCTATTTTTGAGTCATTCTAACCTAGAATTCATCACATTCGCAATTCTTGACTATTGCATGTATTATATATAAATACTTTAGAATGAAGCTAAGAAACATTTTGGCTGCAATGAATTAGATGGAGTCGAAGTAGAAAACGGTCATTTTGGTCAGAGAGTATTTGGGGTTAGTTTACATTTGTGATCATACTTCGATTATATCAAGTACCATGACACAATACATGTTGCGTTTCCTATTTGAATTCTGTATAACCAATATATATATATATATATATATATATATATATATATATATATGTGAAACTAAAGAATTACGCATTAATAGACAGTGACACTGTGATTTATGTGTATAACTTATTTCCTGAGTTCAGTTCCTCATAGTTCTAGCGTTGGCGTGACTAGCTGCTATGTCAGTACTTACATCTCGAAGAATACGAAGTACTGATGCAGATAAACGATCAATAAAAAGACATCTAGGCTTAATCACATACAAACTTACTGCTAGAATATTTCACATTAAGTTGATAATTATTAAATTGGAAACACTGGGTCACTTGATGTATGAAATTTCTGAACTTTTCATACTAAAAACAAGTATTGCTAAAGAATTTTAAACACAGGTAGTTGTTCATAACTTCTAACTAGAAAAAAAACATTTGGTGGAGAAGAGATATCTAGTATATTCAAGAACGTTTAACTTTCTAACAACGATGATGACAATACGCAAGGTAATATGAACAAACCATGCAACTCTGAAAACGCAATACAAAATCCTTACAAAACCTGATTGAGAATAATAAGGCGATCATTGGGCAATACACCCTTTTACTCTGATACTATTTTGATCCAGACGTCTGGTTAAACTACAGAATTAGTTTACCTATGAAGCTAAGAGAACAAAACTGATAACCAGCACTTATGTGACTTAATAATGTGTTCAGTAGGTTATAGAATTTCATCATGAGCTGACATTGGTTAGAAAACCATTGGAAAACCCATCAGGGAGTACTGGACAGCTGTTCCGTCAGCCTAGTTTCGGACTCTTCAACAGTACGCACCCAACACAAAAGGCTTGAACCCAGGACCTTCTATTCACAGGGCAAGCTCGTATACCATTAAGCCACTGGGACACAATCCAATGACCAGCCCATGAAGTCTAACTTCTGACAATTCACAACATAGCGCAACCGCTAGCCAATGTCTTCGGCGAGTATTTGTCCTCACACCCGAGCTGCTGCACCCTACTGGTCGCGGCTTCTCACTAGAACCCCATACACTTGCCGAAAACATTGGCTAGGGGTCGCGCTATGTCATGATTTGGCAGAAGTTAGAATTCATGGGCTGGCCATTGGAGTGTGTCCCAGTGGCTTAATGGTATACGAGCTCACTAGCCTTGTAACCAGAGGGTCCTGGGTTTGAATCCCGGTGGGTGCGTACTGTTGAAGAGTCCCAAACTGGGCTGACGATACAGCTGTCCAGTACTCTCAGCTTGTTTTCCAATGGTTCTCTAACCAATGTCAGCTCATGATGAAATCCGATAACCAATCAACCAAATCTCTACAAACCAATACTTAAATGTGTTGAGTACTTCTTAGTCGGTGATTCTCATGGTCGAATACCAATGGTTTTAATTTTATCATTATTATCTTATACCTATAATGAATTAAGTTCAAACTGATACAATATGTGTTGTGTTTTTTAGAATGAAATGATGACACCAGTTAGATTAGACGACAGTTTACTCTCAAGAATGACCCTAGCTTACTTCAAGGATACACAGTATGTATTTCGTTGATAAATAATTCAATTTTTTATTGGCTGACATTTTCACATTCCCTATGTATTTAACATGTACGATACAATAACATTAATTTAATATGTAGATGATTCACCTTATAGATTCATATCTTATCCGAAATGAACTCGATGCTTTAATTTTCATCGGCGTGTCATGCATAGAATAGACTAATCTTGGCGAGTATCAGGTGATCAAACTTGAAATAGATGAAGTCCTCACAATCTAACTCTTAGAAATAAATGCGATAACTGGTTACAGGACGACGTTGCCTGGAATTTCTGCTGAGAATTTGTGATCAGTATGGTCCACCAAGTCGGAAGTCGAGATAAATACTCGCTAGCGATTGCACTGACTGGTGGTCAGGTTAAAATCACGAGAGTTGGTAAAAGTTAAAATTTATGGGCTGGCCATTGGGTCGGGTCCAAGTGACTAAATAGTCTATAAGCTTGACTTGTAATCGTATAGTTCTTCGGTTTGAATTCCAGTCAGTGTGTAGTGCCAGTGAGTCCCGAACCAAGGCAAGGATAGCTGCCTAGTACTCACTGCTGGATTTTCAGTGTTTCCTTAACTGATATCATTCTGTGATCAAACTTGAAATAAGTATCGTGTACATCGATGCTTCTGTGGTAGAGTGATCTCCAGTCACGTGACAGAGATTTGATTCCAGATTTATTAGCTTGCCCAACTAACTGGTAGTAATCTGAGAATAGAGAGAAAGTTTTGTGTAACGCTATCTCACTTCAACGTGGTTAAAACTAAGCCAGCGCTACTGAGAATTAGGAGCTTGGATCATAGGGGACAAGAATAAACTAGAAACATTGGTTTGTAACTTAAAGTGGATATTATTATTATTATTTATATTTATTATTCTTATACTTTGTCTGTTTTCTCAAAACTATGAAATAATTAAGAATGTATGATGTGGATTACTCTGCGGCTGATGACTTCACCTGGGGGAAGAATTTAGGATGTGAAATTCCAATGAAAAGCTGCTACGAATATATAAAGACAAGAAAAGCCAAGTACGTTGAGAATAGTTATTTAAAAATGTTCAACAGGTAGTACACTGAACTTATCAATCACTACTACTTAATAAAATGTTATTTGAATATTCACTGTCGGTTAGATACATCCTGCAACAGGATGGCCTAAGGGTCAGTTGTTTCATGGAAGCGATTATTGTTGTTGTTGTTATTATTCTTTTATTTAACTGAAATAGCAATGCAGACTAGGCAGAAATTTAGGATCGCGCTGAGTTATAAGCTAAATGATCGATTTCCTTTCTGTATACTTATGAGTATAGATTAGTTGATTGGTAATTTAGATAGTTAAACAACTTGGTTACAGATGTCTTCACAACTTTCCATATTAAGGATACAACTTTGAAATGAGCTGTTTTTATTGTCTCATCGTAAGGAAGTAATCGGTTAGAGCTTCCTTTTTAATTACAAGATAGATGCATAGTTTATTTGTCGGTGGCACAGTGGTGACAAGGCTGGCTGACCATGAACATGATCCAGGTTTCGACCCACGCTAAGCCAGAAATAAAGCTGGTAGATGGGAAAGATTAGGCATGAGGTTAGCAACCCCATCCTGTAAAACTAAACACCACTCCTACAGAAACTTCAAGCCTCTAGCTCGAAGACCTATGTCCAACCGGAGACGTGAAGGGATAAGAATAAGTATACACTTAATTTGATATTGTGAAGTATCTTCTTTCCCTTTTGATCGATAAAACTGTAAAGTTTAGAAAACTTTACACAATGAAACAGTATTATAATGACTATTTTTATTGTTCCGTTGAACAGAAAACAGATCTTCTGCATATTAGATACACATGATTCGGCTTACTGATCTAAACAGAACCAGGTACACCCCTGATGAGACCCACTTGAAACAAGCGAAACGATCATCTGATACGAAGATCACTATGATCTGGCTAGTAAACACTGACAGTTGATAAATAATACTCACTTAATCAGTCAGCCGTATAAACGACACGTGCAGAATTAACTTGTCAAGTAGTAAATTCCGACTTGTAAGTATTACGACGATGAGAATAATGCTTGCAATGCATATGATAATTATTCAACAGGATAAGAAAACATTTGAATTGACGGTTAACTACAAGTCGTATGTTACACTATATAGGATAGTTGTAACATCCGAATTCGAATGATTTCAGTGATTTGTCACTGACATAAAAACCCAATAAATAAAGATATATTTCAAGAAAAACAACAACCTTATTTACTTTACAGGAAGGAAAGTATTGAACCATTCTGTGACGTTCCACAGAAAACAAAATGCGTGGATTTTTCAAATGCATATGGACACTGTTTACTAAACAAGGGGTATAAACAGCCACCCTCAGAGTTTCAGTATGCTGATGAAACATTTAATGTTGATCAGGAATCTTTAAGGTATTACGCGGGTGCAGATTACATGGATTACTGTCCATACTACTCAGTAAGTTACGTTTCATAATGAGAAGTATTATGTTGGTTTCATGCACGATATTTCGTTCAAAACATACTTTATTAGATGTTATATGTGTCCAAACCAAGTTCACTTTAAATAGTTTGAAAACATTTAGGCATTGAGTATATGATATTTATCATAATACAGGTTTTCTTGTATTTCCCAATGAATGAAAAAACAAAACGATATTGCTTTTACTGACGTTTTGCTACTCAATGCTAATAGCTTTGTCAAAGTATTATTAAACTAGAATTTACAAAATCTCATAATGTATGTAACAAAGAGTTATGAGGTGAGAAAACAGACTTAGGTCATGTTAAAAGGACATATTGAAAGTCAAAATAACAGAAGTAATAGTACATATAATATAGTATCAAAACAAAGTTTACAAACTTGATCATCGTTTTTCAGAATGGGGTCATTTTTGCGTTGTCAAATTGGTCAAATGGTAGAGATAACAAAACCAGGTGTGGATTGTTGGATTTTATGAGTGTGGAAAATCATAAAAGCAGCGTGTGTTTACATAATGAAATTGCTGATCATGTTCGTGTCGATTTTGTCACCTCATTGGGGAGGGAGGTGTTGCAAACAGGTCAAATTCTGTTTTACTCCATCATCCTTATTCGGACAATTTGGACTCTATTTGATATGAAGTGCTTCTGATGGTGTGAGAAGTTCTTAGTGATTTCTGAAAAGCGTCTTCTGGATTATTTTAATATCGTCAAAATTAATTGTGTGGCCTGATTCTATGCTTAGCTCCACGTCGATGTCTCCAACTACTGTTTGTTAGGATTAGTCTCCAACTTCGCACCAATTAATCAATAGTAATTAATATCGTACTAAAATTAACTCTTCTCAGCTTGTAAATTGTCTAGTGATAATAATCTGCTGTATAACGATCCATAAAGATAATATAAAACATCTGCAAAAACGGGATTTATACATTTCATTGAAAAGTTAGTCAGAGGTTTCAGGTACTTGATGGAGATGGCTCCACCAAACTTGAGGAAAACTGAACTCTTTTGCTTATTGATAATTTTGAACGATCTTGCGACGTCCACCTGATGAACCGTGTCAAGAAGATACCTAGTGATGGCACCATTTAAAGCATTTGTTCTCGGTTGGAGACATAGGCTTTTTGAAACATGTTCAGAAAATCGTAGATATGCTCTTTTTTCTGTTCTTTCAACGTAACTGCTCCCGCAGATTTGTATATACAGTTGGATTTGACATGAGGAGGATATCTATCGATTTTTCTATTGCACCAAGGAGCAAGTTGCTCGGCAGACGGGGACGTGCTTAGCTGCATAATAGGCTCTGCCTGGTGGCATACTCACTCTTCTGTTGACCACTGCCATTCGACATCTTTTCAAGAAACATAAATTCTTCGTCTACTTTCTCTATAGAGTAGAATTTCCTAGTTCTGTAGCATAGAGTCTTGACTGGTCCACGTTTAAAGCTCTTTGGACAAAACTATTAAAATGTAAGCATTATCTTTTCCCAGATATTAGAAACACATGCAATCTTCCATCTCTATTCACTGTCATTTAAAGGACTGAGCAGGTCACATATTTTGATATGAATATTTCGGTGAAATATAACCTCAGGCTGTGAACTACACTATGTACTATACTGTACTCTCCCAGATAATATGTAATTTCAGTAAAGAAAGGATCTTTGTTGCGAAGCTGTTTGAGTAAAATCGGGAAGGAAGACAGCTTTCCCTCAATAAAGTTTATATATACTCATATACATATACACATGTTTATATATATATATATTAATAAAATTCCATTTTGCATAATGCGGCAACTTATTCCTTTGTTTACATTTATTTTTAAAAAGATTCAGGCCTCGTCAGCTGGACTGTCAACTGTATGTGGACGCAAGGCCAATATAACTTCGCTAGGTAATTATTAAAACACTTTTATTTATGCAAGCATGAGACATTCCACCTGAGAGAGGCTTTATAACCTTTTAAATTCTGTATGGTTTACAGCAAAAAAGGACAGAAGTTTAAAAGCCTTCAGAATATAGAATAGAATGCCTATTATTTTCTTCAATTTGTCATCTCATAAGCTTTTATGTGAATAGATTGTGGATTATGAAATTACCAAACTACTGTTCAGCACGTCGGTGAGTCAGTGGCTCAGGCGTAGAATACTCGCAGACCATGCATATGGTCCTGGGTTCGATTCCCGGCCAAGCACTGCTGTACCTCACTGAGCCAGAAATAAAGCTGGTAAAGAGAGAAGGTTGGGCATGAGGTTAACAACCTCATCCTGTAAAAATAAACATCGCTGCTAACGAAACTTCAAACCACTAGCTTGAAGCCCTTTGTTCCACTGGGAGCTTGAAGGAATAAAAAAAACTGTTTAGTACTGCTACAGACTGGATTCAAATCCCATGGTTACTTAAAGTTAGTTCAGTCACTACGTAGCACTGTTTTTATCCCGAATAATCTGCGAACACTCCCGATGATTCATTCCATTACGGAAATTTCGAGAATCCCAAACTAGGACTAACTTCTAATGAAGAGGTATAAAATTATTTGTCTGAACGGTATAACTGCGTCACCAAAAGCTACTCATCTGAGTAAGGGCGATTCTCAGGCTATTTATTGATGAATAAAAGTCTGAATATGTGAATTTTAAAAGAGTTGGTTATTCATTATTTATCTCATTTGAGAACAGAAGGTATTTTAGGCAATGTCATCATATTACTATATGATACCTCTTGTTTTCGAGCAGTTTACCAAATAATTCTGATCCTCGTATCATGCCACCTTGAGTTTTACTTATCTCGCCCAGACAAGTTCATTTTCTGTTCGGACACACCCATGATGAATTAATATAATATATTCACGAGGTAAAATCATGTTCTTGGTTAGAAAAGTAAGGTATTAATAATATTCCCAGAGATAAGTCATAATCAGTGAGGCACGCCGTGTCGCGTATGTTGAAAAATACTCCATATTTGTAGTAACTAGCGGTTGCGCCATATGTCCTAAATAGTCAGAAGTTGAAATTCACGGGCTGTCAGATTCCGTCTCACTGGTTAAATTGCAAGTGGGCTTCATTAACAGCCACAAGGCCATTGATTCGACCCCCAGAAGGATTTACTGGTACATACAACTTAACAATCATAAACTGCGACCAAATAACTGTCCAACGCTCTCTGGTCTTTTGTGGTTCTCAAAATGTTACTTAGTGATTTAATTTCAAACCAGCATTGTTACTCAGCTGAGATTACATGCAACTGTTTTGCCATAGTAAAAGTAAGAAAAGCTTCACATTCAATAGGCACAAACGTAGCACACATGTCATGCGATATATGTATGTATCGCTTTGAGCATAATAATTTAATATGTGACAGAACTGTGCATTCATTTTATGTGCAGCACTTGGAGAAAGTAGGGGAATATAGCCTTAGCTTACATTATGTTAAGAAACGGTCAGACTTACACACAGTTTCAACCACTAAATTTATTAGGAATGGTACATTTCAGGGAACTTTGTTAAATGTTGGTGTCAACAATTATTCTTTATTGTCTAAACACGAATAATTATTCCTCAGATCCATTAGATAACGCATATCTTGAAGAACGAGGTCCTGATACAGCTTGTTTCAACCAAGCGAAATGGAAGCTCAGCAATTCGAAGGATGTATTTTCAAGAAATGCAGCTTGTCATAAAGTAAGTTAAATCATAGATCCCTTTGCAAAGTATTAGGTGATGGACAGAGATTTGTGTTATTTCTATTCCTGCTTGATTAATTAATTATAATGGCTTGAAATACTCCGTCTCACTTGTTATATCAGCTTCTTATAAGAGCTCCCGGAGGATATCCGAAGACTGACAGGATGTTATTTAATTGGGGGGTGGGTGGCAGTGGAATCCAGTATACTACGAATTTCGTCCAATTCAGAACTCGCCAACTGGATGTACCGGAAACCTCTTATGATTAATTAATAGTGTTCCAACTGAAACTAGAATTCGATATCAGTTGTTTCAAAAACGGTAAAGAGTTATACAGTAAGAATTACCTCACTCAGCAAGAATGCATCCACATCAAGCTGACTAGTCTCGAACAGGATGAAAGGAGTATCCAAGATTTCAGTACTCACAATTAGCAATCAAACGAAAGCTCGTACCATCTGTTGATTCCACGGTAGAATTTGAAATACATCAAATTATAGATCATTTAAAATCTGTCAAAACAAGCAAAATATTTCACTGAACATTTTTATCGTATAATAATTAACCAGCAGGCAGGATATGATATTATTCATTTAGAAGTGTGTTCTTCTATTGGAGGTTATTATATTAAATCCATTGAAATCAGTACAGTGTATTGGAGCCTCTAACAGATGCTTGAATACTACCTTGTCTTCTGATTGGATGATACTCGCTGCGAAAATAGCTGGACTTAATAGCTTCTATCTTACCTCAAAATACGTGATCATTACAGACAATGAGTGCTGAGTTTGACACTCAGTGCAAATATTATCACTTGTTCAGCTTACCTAGTTGACGAGTCTCAGATAGAATGAAATAGACATCCTTGATTCCACTGCGAGTCACCATGAATTAAGTCAGTCGAACAGCTCTTTATGCAATACTAGTTCTGTCCACCTCTTGAGATATGCACTGTCACTGTTAACTTTGTGATGAGAGGCAGCATAATATTCATAAATACCCATCTGACAATTTCCCACTTAAATTTGACGATGTTATATTCTTCCAACATCATTTGTTGAAGTGAGTACTGCTCAAATATTTTTTCCCCTTAAATGTCAGCATGTACGAGTAAAAGACCCAAAAATAATAACAATAGGCTATTTTACTGAGAAGGGGATTCTCTTCCCACTGGAATATTCTAACAAGATGTAGGTTCTGACAAATGTCTCAAAAGTTATAACTTATAAGAAAAAGACGTTTACAGCAAAGGGAATTTTCTTGCCGGCGGTTCATTTTCATAAGCTACAGAATCGTAATTATATTCATGAAGAAAAAACAAGACCAATTATATACTGGTAAAATTTGTCTTCGAAAATGTATCACGCAGTCTAGTGTAAGGTGTAGTCTAGGTGGGTTGACTAATTTCATGCACTATATCATCTAATAGATAAGGAAGACGAAAATGATGCAAACACGGCTTGCAAAGTCATCGACCGTATTCTCACTAGGGCTTAATTTTACCTCAGAAGTTTGTCTATTGCATATTGATGAGGCTGGCTGTTGGAAACTACATCTATGTATTCAAAATAAGTTGGTTCAAACGCTTTCCCTATCCCACTGGCCATCAAGGTTTTAATGATGCTTAATTTTTGTTGTAGAGATCTCCTTAATTTTATTTGATATTCTATTTAATGTGGCGTCTTTTATGCCTATTATAACTTATGCATCTTTCTTGACCTCGAGCTGTAATTACACTGATATTAACAAATCGATAGTATTTAAAAACACAGCAATATTAATAATAACGATTATTGTAGAATATGCTGTATATATATATATATATATATATATATATATATATATATAAGTATACATAATTGTAGAGCCGAAGGTGGAAATTATTGAAAAAAAATATTCACTGCTCAAATTTTCTTTTGTCTTCTAAACATGTGAATGGATATTTCCGCTACTTTAGCTCTTTTTTCGCTCCAAGAATTTAATGGTATTCTTCATCTTTAGTTCCGGTGTTCAAAGCAGTATGGCCTTCAAGTAATCATCAACAATAATGGTTTTACATGTCCTGTAAAAGGTGGAATTATTCCTGTGAATGTGGCGACAAAAGGTGCAAATGTTCAAGGTGAAATATACTGTCCAGAATGCAAAGCATTGTGTAAGGTAGGTTATATTTAATGTCAAGGTACTTTTATTTACTTCTAAATAATTGGTAAATAATTTAACTTTGCTAATCGGTTACATAAAAAACTGCTAATTGTCAGAAATCAAAAATGCATCACAATTCAATGTTTCAATGTTTCCAGTCAGAAGTAAGGACGAATTTTCCGCCAGTCACATTGGTTGGTGGTCACGCTAGTTAGAACTCATGAGCTGGCCATTGAATCAAGTCACAGTGGCTGAATGACATACGAGGTTGCCTTGTAACCGGAAAATTCTGGATTCAAACCCTGGTGACTAGTGTGTACTACCGATAAGTCCCAAACGGGGATAAAACAGCTGTCCAATACCCACATCCGGTTTTCAATGGTTCATTAAATGATATCAGTCCATGGTATAACTCCATAAGCAAATTAAATCCGAACAAATCAACTCTTGGAAAGAAAGCTAAAAGTGTACCACGGTGATGCCTTACCTCCCTTATTAGCCACCCTACAAACCTGAGTGCGAGAATTCATTGGATACCAGTGACTATTGTTTCCTTTAGTTCTTCATAACATCACTTTTTCCATATCACCCTCGCACCGACAATCAACTCGCCGCTTCCAGTTCGGGTATGACCAGTGACTATACGCATCATAAATGGTTACTCCCCTGCAACCAATCAGTTTACTCCTCAGTATAATTATTGATACCAAAACTACTGCAAACTGTGCTGCTACACAAATCATTTGAACGACCTTTTGACAATTACATCTCATAAAAATATTCTTTTGGCAAAATATCAGTAGCTTGAGGATCTATTTCTTCATTGGATTGAAAAGTTGATCGTTCGTTTCAGTTTTAATGATGTTTCCAGCCAAAATAAAATTCTAATAAATATACTCTTCAGTAAGTAGATGCACAGTACCAAACACGCTCGCTATGTCGTGAATTGGCAAAAGTTAGAATTCATGGATTGGCCATTGGATCGTGTCCCAGTGGCTTAATGGTATACGAGCTCGCCTTGTGACTAAAAAGTTTCTGGGCTCTAGCCCTTTGCGGTGGGTGCGTACTGTTGAAGAGTCCGAAACTAGGCTGACGGAACAGCTGTCCAGTACTCCCTGATGGGTTTTCCAATGGTTCTCTAACTAATGTCAGCTCATTATGAAATCCTGTAACCAATCGAATCCCTACAAACCAACACTTGAATACAAACCGTATCAGTGAACATCATGTGAAATACTGATTTCATAATCATTTCCTACAGAAAAGGAAAAGCAATCAATGATTCATAATTCTAGTCGACTTTTCAAATTTGGATGTTGAAAATTTCTGAAATATTAACTTTTTCATACAATTTTACTTTCTTTTTAGAATGAATGTCCATAATGAATCAAAGCTGATATATGAAATTTCGTTACATTATTTGTTGTGAACTTAGGCATCATTTGGATAAAAATTACTCAGACTTTGATTTTTTTTAAAAACTTTTACAAAACTATTTCCACATGTCTATATCAGTAAACATAATAAATGATGAGTGTCACTCACTTGTTTTTTTATAATTACGTTAAATAAGTAGAACTGTGGTGTCAGTTACATAGGAGTATCGTTGTGAATTAGTCCTGAAGAATAACAATAACAACACAACAACAAAAATGAATGCATGACTTTACATACTACTGACTGATTGGTTGGTCGGTATACAAAGTGTCACTTCACTTCTCTAGGTTTATACGCCTGGGATCGTAATTATAAACAGACATGATTACAATTGGTGGATGGTGGCTAGCAGTGGAATCCAGTCAGGATGCGCATTTCGTCCTATTTGGGACTCGTCAGCTGGATGTACCTGCATTTCTCAGTGAGTGATGATGTTCCCACCAAGGCTCGAACCCAGACATGATTACATTAACAAGATTCAAATTCAAAGTTTCCAAAACTAATTATAATGAAACATAAAACTGAGAAAGAGATGTTATGAGCATATTGAAGGAATTAAGAGAAGAAGGGTACATTTCAACAGCAACATATAAAAACCTAAAACCCAATGGTAGTGCTATTTCACATATATCTGGTCTCGTAAAAGTCCGTAAATCAACGGTGCCATTCTGTCACACATGTATCAATAACTTTATCACAAGACTGTTAAGCAGACTGAAGTAACTACTGCTTAAGTGTACAAGGACTGTCCAACTCTTGCTTACTAGTGAAATATACATAGATTCATGGATTGGCCACGGAATCTCCACTAGGTTTTATGTTTGTGAACATATTTCCAGAAATATGCACCTCAACTTCAAAAATGGTTAATTTCGACCATGTCAGTTTACATACACGTCTACCAATATATATGGCTATAGAGGCAGTCAGAAACAAGCTCATTCCTGACCAAGAACTTGAACTTAGAACGAAAGTGCCACTTGAGGAGGTAATGCTGGGAGTGCAGCTATGCCTGGCTTCCACAGTGTTTCAATTCCAAGGGAAATATACAAACAAACTGAGGGAGGGACATCAGTTTGATTGGGATAATGTCGAAAGCTTAGACAGAGGAAGCACCAAAAGTGCCAGGGAATTCCTAGAAGCCTGGTACTCAAACGAAAATGCAATTAACAAACACGTTAATATAGACGAAATATACCAACTAATAAAAAGTAAATCAGGTGACCAGAAAGTTTCAAATCCAAGTCAATAGAAAACGGTCAATACATATGTAAAGATGGTTGCCAGGAGACGCAATTATATCAGTCATGAAGAAAATTAAAATCATTTCATTTTATGCTAAATATTGCTCTGAAGATGTTGTCTACAAGGACGACGAAAGCCCTGCAACTAAACCAACCAGCTCAGAGAACGCCATTGATTGTAAACTGAGAGAGTTCCCATGGGGTCACCAGTATCCCCGGTTGTGGCAGATATATTCATGGGTAGGTGGGAAAACAGCGAAAATATAGTCCCACCCCAAAGTATGGTGAAGGTATGTAGATGACACGTTCACGGTACTTAGAACACAGGATATAGATAGATTTTTCGAACACATTACCTCAAAGGTAGAAGCGATTCAATTCACTTATGAACTGGAAAGTCAGGAAGGAGAGGGAGCTTCCAATGTTAGATTGTAGCATAAAAAGGAAAGAAGATGGGAAGTTAAACACTAGTGTTTACAGGAAACTCACACATTCGAACAGATATTTAGACTTCCGATCATCGCACACTATGTCAGTAAAAATTGGATTGATAAAATGCTTAATTGATAGGGCACAAAATCTAAGTAGTACCAAGGAAATTCTAAGACTGTGAGATATAAAACAGAAGCTTTGAAACTTAATAATTACCCTGATAAATTAGTCAGAAAGTGTGTAGGGAATGTAAAAATAAAATAAATAATGATAGTAGTGATAGTGATAGTAATAATAATAATGCTAATAATTGTAATAGTGATAGTAATGTTAATGACGACATGCATATCAAACATACGCAGGATAATGACAATACTAACATTAAGGAATCTAAATCATCAGTAGTAATTCCATACAAAGAAGGAACTTCGAAAACCTTACTCAGAATTCTTAACAAGGCAGGAATAAAAGTGGCTGGCATTCAAACCACCCACAAACTCAATTAGAAACAAGCTTTGTCAGTTAAACGATCAATCCTGTGGGGCCTTTAAAACAAAACAGTTTAGTTTATCTAATACCATGCCTTAGATGCTTGTCAGGTCAAATACATAGGTCAAAGTAGTAGAACAGGGGCAGTCAAACTAACCTAACATAAAACCCAACAAAATCTAGATTGATCGACCCAAATAAGATAAGAAATCTAGAGAATAGTTCAGCTATAGCACTGAACACATGCAATTACACGCAACCATACAATAGAATGATGAGATGACAGTTTTAAATTCCTATGTCAAAGGGTGGAGGGAGAGATTGATAACAGAAGCAAATAGGTGTAATAGGAATGATTCAACACCTGTCCACTCAGATATCTATAAAATCCTACTACCTCTATGACAAATAGGAGAGAACAACGCAAACTATAGAACTCAAGTTTCGAAGTCGTGTGATTATAAATGATGAAATGATTATGAACAATAAACTCTGTCCGAAATGTCATCCATTAAATAAAACTGTTTCATCACCGTGTGATACATCTAATAAACAAACTAATATGGAATTACTTACTACCACAGTGCCCAAGTTTTACACATATATTAATACGCCTCAACCTCTTTCATTTTATATATTCTTCAGTATATGATGAAGTATTCACTACAGATTTAATGTCTCCTCTTTGAGGCATACTATTTTGTACTATCTACTCACCTGACACCTTTTCGAACCTTGATAAGATCTGTAAGTTCTCTTCTGCTACATTGTATCAGTGTATTATGAATAATGACCATTATAGCCGTCTCGCATTTCGCAACATTTTCTAACTGAATTCAGACTAGCGCATTCGTCACACAAATCCTACTTGTTTTATCATTATATAACTAATCTTTTACTCTACTTAGAACTGGTTAGGCAGTAAAACTAGCCCCTACTGTAATGATAAATATAATATTTTATCATTGTAAAATCTTGAAGAAAATTTATTGAATACAATATTTTGCAGTCAGATTGACTTTTTTTGGACGCCTTCAAGCGTTCAGCACAGCTGAGGCACTTTCTATAAAAACATCTTCAAGCTAATCTTTATTCTGTCCCTCTACTTTCTTTGACCTCTACCCTCAGTTAAGAATAGTTATCGATCCGAGGGACACGCGATAACTGTTGTCTGACATTTCATCTTCTTTTTCTTTCCCATCTGTTACCAAAGAGTGCATTCGTCTAAGAAGACTTGAGGCAAGTAAACTGAGTGCTGGCAGATAGGATATTCATAGCCGAAAACATATTTCGAAAGCATGGACCTCAATAACTGTCATTCCATATACAGCAGAGAAATCAGACGAAATCATAGGAGTACTCAATTAACACAACATCAGAATTTTCTTCAAAACATCAGATACACACACTGCAAAGCAACCTTGTCCATGCAAAAGACAAAATCCCTAAACATCCTCTATCCAATTGTGTCTATAAAATAAAATCCTTGCTTGGAATGTAATGCTATATACTTCAGAAAAACATCACCAGAGAGAAATCAAGGTGATAAGAAGAAATGAACACCACAGAGCATCTGTTCAACCACCGAGAAATCCAGTTGAACTTTAGAAGCTTGAAAAATCATCAACCATTGGCGGTTTATACACCACAGAATCAGACCACAAAAATTAATTTTGACGACATTGAAATAATGCAGGAGACGCATTTCATAAATCATTAAGAACCTCTTACATCATCAGAAGCATTTCATATGACATAGAGTCCAAATTGTCTCAATTGGAATGATGGACTGAAACAAAATTTGACCTGGTTACAACACCCCCTCTTCCACGAGGTGATAAAATCAACACGAATATGATCAGCAATATCATTATGTAAACACGCTGCTTTCATATATTTATGCGCGTATCAAATCCAACAGTGTACACCTGATTTTTTTATCTTTCCCAATTAACCGATTTGACAACACAAAAATGATCCCATGCCGAAGAACGACGATTAAGTTGTTAGAGATATACAAGCTGAGATTTTGTCAATTCTGGTTTAATAATACCACTTTGATAAAGCTAATAACAACATTGAATAGCGAAACGTCAGTAAAAGCAACAATATCGTTTTACTTTTCATTCATTGCGAAATACTAGAGATTTTTATTAGTATCTTAGGCCTGATGGCAAAATTTCCTCAAACTCTTCAATGTGAAATTGGTTTGGACATATAGGAACACTTAATTATCTAATCGCTGTGACAGGGCAGTTATTTTCCCTTTTACTCTTGCTGGTTTACACGTTCTACTTGCTCATTTACAATGCCTAACTACTTAGATTATGTAAACAAAGGCAAGAATTTATGCTTGGTGATAATAATAAAGCTTTATTTAAGACAATTTGTGAACACATAGTAGAGGAATTTTCTGCGTTTCAAAGTATTTCGGAGAGAGTTGCTTCACAGATTACTGTGTTCTTGATAAAAACTAATCGTGATATCAAAACAAAATTTATCGAGGAAGATTTGAATCTAGTGACAATTTGCTTTAGAATACGTAAGACTGATTAAAACTCCTTAATCACTTGGGCTTGCATAGACTTTAATATACAACCCCAGCGTAACCTTTAGATAGGTTTAAAAGACGTATAAACGTTAACTTTATGCCCTGTATCCACAGTATGTCTCGCCATGCTGAAGACTGTTTGTCTACACTCATAAGTCCAAGCAATTCAATTTACTTCTGGCGCCAATTAGTAATATGCTCTGAAGCTCTTATTTGTAGTTATCAACAACACACCTCAACGTGTGTGCATGAGTATATGCACGTTTAAAATGAAAGATACAGTCGGAGACGGAATTATATTCCCTCAAAACCTATCAATGCTGACAATATTAAACATGCG